ACCTACCTTTCTAGGAGAAGGGCTGAGATAACCACCCACACATCTGGACCTCTGGCCTCTTTGCACCATTGCTCATTGAATTAATCATCCCCATCTCTCTCATCAGTTAATCCAAATGGTTGGCTCTTTCTCCAACTTGTGGCTTTTGTTTCCTGTCCTATCAGTTAAGACATGTCGAAAGCATAGTCCATGTGGGAAAAAATATTCCCTAGTTGTTGTGTTTCCCAATTCTGTAGATGTCTGACTCTATACCATTACCTTATTCTTCCCTGAAGTCTGACAGAGGAAGCTGTATTCTCATGTTTAAACCTGTTTCCACCACCAAATCATATCCTATTTCTACCGCCAAAATATATTTGATTGTTATAGAAAGTCAGCAACGGAATCCAACCATTTTGGATAGATATCCAAACTGCCAAAGCACAGTGATGTTGCCATAAGTCCATTCCCCTTGAACTTTCTGAATCTATCAATTTGTCCTTATGACTCTCAATCCTGTACCTGCACTCCCAATGACCTGCTGGACTTCTTCATCTGAGTGTCTTGGAGTGCTGTTAAGTGTCACTTCCATATTATTCTGCAGCCCTCACACTGTCTTCTTTCTGATGTCTATATTTCTGTTATTGCTATTACCATTTTCCTAGTTACTCATTCTTAAATTCTTTATCTTTTATATTCCTCCAAATCCATCTTCACGTTTGTCACTGATACTTCTCTGGGATTCTGCTTCTACCTCTAGGTTCCTTCCTGAGGAACTATAACCCTCCATTGCCAGAGAGATATCCCCTCTCATGTCAGACTTCCCCCTGGAGCCAGAAAACCCAATTCCAGTGACCAGTGGTAGAGGCTTTATAAAGAGAAATATGAAGAACAAGTTTGCCAACATGTGCATTATCCCCTGTTGGAGAAGTTTGTTCACTCCTGTCTCAACCAGAGGGCTTCTCACAGAGGGCTCCTCTCAGTAACTGAGAAGATTCAGTACCTGTCAATGAGCAGTGAGGATTTTACAGAAAGATCTAGGTACTTCTGACACCTTGCACAAAGGTCTCCCTTTTACCCTACTCCCTCACCATACTCAGCATAAAGAGATCAAATGAGTGCAAAGCATTTGAATTCAAGCATTCTAAGCCAAAAAGACATACAAATATCACCAGACAATCCTGTTCAATAAATACATGAGGAATATACTAATTTTCAAAGGACAAAGTTTCTCATGAAGTGGTATCTATTACTTATTGCTATTTTGCACCACGCATCTTCACATGGAACTGCTTGCTGACTGAGCCAGGTCTATTCTCGTTTTTGTTCACATGGCTTCATTTTCATGAAATTTCTTCTACTTGCCTTTTGCCTTTGGAAATCTCAGTTGTTCTCCTAGGCCCCACATAAACTTTTACCTTCTCTGGGACTTGGTCCCTGATCTTGCCAAGTGAAAGTGGCCTTTTGCTGGGATTAATCCTTATAATGCTCTTTTTACTTATTTGAGACACTTAAATCATTCTATCACAAATTGCATAGATCTTAGTGCTTTCCTACTATATTTTCATTTCCTGAAGAGCAATGACCATCCCATTTCTTTTCCATATTGTATCCTCCGTAGTGATCAACATAGTGCTTTATATAAAACAGATCCTTGAAAATGTCATGAGAGGATGTGGTACCAAATGGAAATAAGATAGGGATAGAAATACAAATATTCAGGGAGAACATTACATTACCACTTTTCATCTCCCATTTACAACCAACCATCATTAACTTTTCTCACCAGGCACAGAAATAGTGTCAGAAACCTTCTTGACGCAGAGCTCCAGGCAATCGGTTCCAATCCACTGGAGTTTTCATTCGTTAAAATCAATTAGCATCCAGGGATGAAGAGAGAGCATAGTTTTTCCTTTATCTTAATGCTCTGTTATGTTGATTAAATATCTTTTTATGTGCCAAAATCTCACTTCATCCAATAAATAAATTTAAGACAAGATTGAAATGTCATATTTTTCCAAAAAAAGCTACTTTGCTCTTCATATATCTCTGCTGTATTTTTAAGACTCAAAATCCTTGGCAAAGAGAGGAATACAGCTCCAGTCCTTAGAACCTTACCTTTAAAAGTAGGTAGTTTGTCTTCTTTTCCTCAAACATCGTATCACTGAAAGTACCATAGTTTCCCAAATTGTGGAAACAAATATTAGAGTGTGATCTCATCGCTTACGAAGCTAGGCTAAAAATGCCTTGGGTGATGTTGTGTTAGCACGGTTGTGTTTTCTAAGAACAGCCTCTCATCTGAAAATAATTTGAATGTTAGTAAGCCACATACAATGGTGTCACTGAAAGGGCATTATGCCTTGATCATTTCTAGGAATGTGGTTGAAGTCATGATGATTACGTGGCTCAAGGGTGTTGGTAGATACACAAGATATCTTACTGGTTTATTTAATGTGATGCACTCAAGTGACAGATCGCGCCTGACTCGCTCACAGTCACTTCTTAGGCTGCACTGCCACCTGGTGTCCTTTAGAGGCATGAGTTTCAGGGAATCCTTCATTGGAGTTTTTAGCTGGGTGAATCTTGAGTCTTAGATTTCAAAAGGGCAAGCAGGTGGTGAAGAGTATCATTTTCATTGAGTACATTTCCAAATAGGTTTTTTCTTTCATCAGACACAGGGATTAGTTCCTTGAATAGTCATATTGTTTAAGTGCGTGTGTGTGTACATAAACCTTAATATGTGAAGGAAATACAGCTGGGGGAAATAGTGTGACAGGAACTATAGAAATCATAGTAAACATAATAAAGGCAGAACTCTAAATAAAAGACAGTATCCATGATATTTTATATATGGTAATAATAATGACTACAGCACCATTAATTTCTACTTATTATCCTTAGTATTTTAATGCTGACCCAACTTACATTTCTAAGGCTGTCCCTCTGCCTGTCTCTTCTAGAGAAACAGTAAACGCTAAATACTCAACTTCTCAGTTGACCTACATCTTAGGGGAGCCTCTTTCAGTTCTTGTTTTCCTGCCTGGAGTGCCCCCTTGAGCCTGCAGATACAGCAACCCATGAGTTCATGACAAGCATGGAAATGAAATCTGACATGCTCTGTGTAGCACAGCAGAATGACTGAATGTGCCTGGGCTCCGATTATATTGCTGAACTGCTACGCCAGCCCTGGCTGACTTCTTGGGACTTACTACTGTGTGAGAAAAATAAACCCCTATTTCTTTAAGTTGCTGTTGATTATTATTTTTGTTGTTACTCCAGAAGTCGGTTTCTAATTAAGTAGAAGATCCTGCTTCCCTGAAGTTTGAATGAGATGCTTACACATTAGTTTAATTTTACTTTTTTGCAGAACAGAACTGGGGTGTGTGTGCACGCGCACGCGCACGCTCCAGTGAACTTCTCAATACTGATGTGGTTTTATGACTCCAGTTGTTGACACTGTGGTTATGGCATGCTCTGAAGCGGAAATTGTTTTTTCGTACACTCCTGTTGACTTTCCTGTCTTACTTGTGGCAGGACTGCAGCCTCAAGCATCTGAAGGACAGAAAAGCACATTCCAAGGAGCGGAAAGAGCAGAAGCAAAGAGCACACACTTATGATCAGAAGAAGGCCCATGTTATGGTTACAGAGTGAAAAATCAGGCGATGGGCATGAGATGAGCCTCTCAGGATAAGCAAAGGCTACATCATGTGAGGAATTATACTTGATAGTAAATGTAATGAAAAGAGTTTTTTACAAAAAATTAGCAGGATCCCAGCAGGATAAAGTCATATTTCACAAAGATTGCTGTGTCAGCCAAATGGAGATGGGTTGGAAGAGGGAAGGAAAAAAATTAAGAAGCCAACGAAAAACCCCATAGAGATAGGGAGGAATTGGGGCCAGACTAGGGGGTGGCACTGGAAATAGAGAGGTAGTAGATTTGATATGAACTTGGAGAATAGAATCAACAAAATTTGGGTTGAAGAGAATCTAGGCACCAGTGAGGGTAAATGTAGGCACTAGTTACTGAGAGATCATTGGGGCTGGCTGGGGAATGTGAAGAGGGACCACAGTGGGGACAGAATAGAAAATGGTTTTGCATTTGCAGAGTTTGTAAAGACAGACAATGAGCAGTTTGATTTGCTGTTTAGGTGCTCAGGAGAAGGGTTGAAACAGAGCTAGAAACTTCAAGAGGCCTACACTACACATTTTCCAAATGTTCCTGGTCTACCTGTTCTTTTCCCCCAACTATATTTATCATAAATTTTGGTGGTTTAGGTGGGTTCTGTGAATTTAACTTTTGAGAATGTGGAACAAAAAGATCTTAGAAGAGAACTTCCATCAGTGTAATGTTTCAGTGAAGGAAGCTTGGGAGGTGCTGCTTTAGAAAAGAATTTTAGAGATAGGGTCTCCTTATGCTGCCCAGGGTAGCCTTGAACACCTGGGCTCAAGGGATCCTCCTGCCTCAGCTTCTTAAGCAGCTGGGACTTCAGGTGTGCACCACCACACCTGGCTTGTGCTGCTTGAAGTCGGTTAAAATGTAGTCCCAGTGCTCTACTTCATAAGAAACTTGTAGTTATTGAAAGAAACAGAAATGCATAGTCTAGACAGCCATCAGCAAATGGCTTCTCAGTTTATATTACAAACTGGTTGGTACTGGCAGAGTACAGGACTTGGGGTCTTCATGAGCAAGTGCAAGTCCTATAAGACATTTGTTCTTTATTGTTTTCTTACTGGAATGTGCAAGATGTGTGCTATCATTGTGCACAAAAGTATACCAGTCTCATTCCTTCCTTCATGCCTTTATTCCTGGTCTAGAATACCATCGATTCATTTCTGTATTCAATAATATTGGTTAAATTCCTTTCCTGTTTTAGGTGCTAAGAATGCAGCAGTGACTTAGTCTTAGGTCTCCAGGAACTCTCATCCAGTGGGCAGGTAGCTTTAGGAGCAAATAGCTACCAAACAATGTGAATAGGGCTGTGCCTGAGCTGTGAAAACAGAAGGGGTTGTTAACTCCGGGGATGCTGCAGGAAGAGAAATGGGGCACACAGACCCGGCCTCTGCCCCCCTTCCTAGTATCTTCTGTAGCCATTTCCCCATCCCTTATGCCTTTCATGGCAGTCATACCAAAGCTTGTCTTCATCCCTAGGTAAGCTCATTTCTTCTTGGCCTCTATGATGAGCCACAATTCAGGAGATTATGTCTATAACTGCCTAAAAGGAAGACAAACCTTTCTGGCTACAGGCAGGTAAAATATATCCTCCCAAAGCGCTGGGCATGGTGGCTCATGTTTGTAATCCCATCACTTTGGGAGGGTGAGACAGGTGGGTCACCTGAGGTAGGGAGTTCGAGACCAGCCTGGGCAACATGCAGAACGCCCATCTCTACTAAAAATACAAAAATTAGCCAGGCGTGGTGACGGGCACCTATAATCCCAGCTAGTCAGGAGGCTGAGGCAGGAGAATCGCTTAAACTCGAGAGACAGAGGTTGCAGTGAGCCAAGGTCACACCATTGCACTTTAGCCTGGGTGACAGAGTGAGATTCCAGTCTCAAAAAATAATTAATTGATTGATTAATTAAAAATTTAAAAAAAGAAGAGCACATAGGATGCCAGAACTTGTTGTAGCCACCTTGGAAAATATAATCTGCCACAGAGGGCAAGTAGAAAGAATGTTGTAGTTTAAGATTTCAGAAATCTAGTTGTCCAAAAGATCACAAGAGCTGTTCACGTGGCAGCTTAAGGGGAGAGGAAGCAAACATCTTCCGAGCTGAGGAAGACGTGGGATGGTGAGTCAGGTGAACTGCATGCTCATCCATGTGAACGCTGACATCCTCAGGAAAGCAGAAGGAATTCAGAGAACAGAAGACAAAACACAATGTCGTTCATTATTTTTTTTTTTTTAGAGATAGGGTGTTTCTCTGTCACCCAGGCTGGAGTGCAGTGGCTTGATCATAGGTCACTGTAGCCTTGAACTCCTGGGCTCAAGCAATCCTTCTTCCCCAGCCTCCTGAACAGCTAGGGCTACAGTGTGTGCCACCATGCCTGACTAATTTTGTATTTTTATTTTTTGTAGAGATAGGGTCTTGATATGTTGCGCATGGTAGTTTATAACTCCTGGCCTCAAGTGATCCTCCCACATTGGCCTCCCAAAGCATTGGGATTACAGGCATGAGTCACAGTGCTCCACCACAAAACACTCTTTTTTTTTTTGAGATGGAGTTTCACCTCTTGTTGCCCAGACTGGAGTGCAGTGGCACAATCTCGGCTCACTGAAAACTGCGCCTCCTGGGTTCAAGCAATTTTCCTGCTTCAGCGCCTTGAGTAGCTGGGATTACAAGCATGTGCCACCACACCCAGCTAATTTTGCATTTTTAATAGAGATGGGGTTTCTCCATGTTAGTCAGGCTGGTGATCTGCCTGCCTTGGCCTCCCAAAGTGCTGGGATTACATGTGTGAGCCACCATGCCCAGTCTAGAAAATACTCTTTTAAAAGTTTTCATCTTTTTTTTTTCTGGAGTGGTGAAATAATTAATCTCTGTGGTGAGGAATTCCTTTTTATTTGGGAAAAGATATTTGCAATGGGCCTATAGTTTGTGCAAAGATACTAATAGCTAACATTTTTTGAGTGTCCATTCATTCATTCATTCATTCATTCTAAATATATATACTGGGGCAGGCATGGTGGCTCATGCCTATGGTCCCAGCACTTTGAGAGGCTGAGGCAGGTGGATCACTTGAGACCAGGGGTTTGAGACAAGCCTGGCCAACTCAGTGAAACCCCACTTCTACTAAAAATACAAAAATTAGCCAAGTGTGGCAGTACGTGCCTATAGTCCTAGCTACTTGGGAGGGTGAGGCAGGAGAATCGCTTGAATCTGGGAGGCAGAGGTTGCAGTGAGCCAAGATCGTGCCACTGCACATCAGGCTGGGTGACAGAGTGAGACTCCATCTAAAAAAAAAAAAAAAAAAAAAGAGAGAGAGCGCTTACTGCAAGAGGTCTGGCTGGCCAAGACACTCCATCTGCTACACACTTGGGCCCACTAGAGGCTTCATGCTGAGGCATGCTCTTCCCAGGCTGCACCAGCCAATGACTCTGCATGCTAGGGATTCCAGATTCAGACCATTCCTGCCTTACAAACAGCTCCAATGTGGACAGTCTGCTCTGGGCTCTCTGAAGAGCTCTCAAACAGTTGTCAGACCTGTACTGTGGTCAGGATGCTCTCCATGAATATTCATTTTGTTTATTTAATTTAATTTTTATTTTTACTTTAGATAGGATTTGGAATGCAGTGGCTCGATCATGGCTCACTGCAGCCTCCACCTCCTGGGCTCAAGCAATCCTCCCACCTCAGCCTCCCGAGTAGCTAGGACTACAGTTACATACCACTATAACCAGGTAATAATTTTCTTTTTTTGTAGAGACAGTGTCTTGCCGTATTGCTCAGGCTGGTCTTGAACTCCTGGCCTCAAGTGATCCTCCTGCCTTGGCTTCTCAAAGTGCTGGGATTATAGCCACTGTGTCCATCCATGCCTTTTTAAATAATTTTTATTTTTTTTAATTATTATTATTATTTTTTGAGACAGAGTCTTGCTCATTCTGTCACCCAGGCTGGAGTGCAGTGGTGTGATCTCAGGTCACTGCAACCTCCCCCTCCTGAGTTCAAGTGATTCTCCTGCCTCAGCCTCCCAAGTAGCTGGGATTACAGGCATCCACCACCATGCCGAGCTAATTTTTGCATTTTTAGTAGAGATGGAGTTTTGCCACATTGTCCAGGCTGGTCTCAAAGTCTGGACCTCAGGTGATCTGCCTGCCTTGGCCTCCCAAAGTGCTGGGATTATAGGCATGAGCCACCTCACCTGGCCCATCCATGCTTATTCTTGCTCCCGCTTTCCTTTATTCTTCACAGGGTTTTTTTTCCTGTCAATTTCTTGCACATCAAATTCCACCTTGGCATCTGCTTCTTGTGTTATGGAACTGACCTGGGATCAGCTCACCTTGTTCCTCCTTTGTTCATTGTTCTCTTGTGGCACAATGGCTACCTGGAGTACCTTTCCTGCAGTCCAGGAAGTTAAAAATTGTGTTGCTGAAAGAGCCTTTGTCTCAGTACCAATTTTTCTTTGTGGTACCAAGTATCTATTTCCAACATCTATTTCCAACACTACTGGAGGCCAGGAGTTCGAGACCAGCCTGGGCAATACAGCAAGACCCCATCTGTATGAAATTTAAGAAAATTAGTCAAGCATGATGGTGCAGACCTGCAGCTGGGATTACAGGCACGCACCACCACGCCTAGCTAATCAGTAGAGACAGGGTTTCACCGTGGTGGTCGGGCTGGTCTCGATCTCCTTACCTCAAGTGATCCACCTGCCTTAGCCTCCCAAAGTGCTGGGATTAGAGGCATGAGCCGCTGTATCTGGTCCCAAACTGTTTTTGTTAAAGACTGGGTCTCACTCTGTCACCCAGGCTGGAGTGCAGTGGCACAATCATAGCTCACTGCACCCTTGAACTCCTGGGCTCAAGCAGTCCTCCCACTTAACTTGCTGTGGAGCTGGGATCACAGGAACTTTTCTACTTCCCACAATTCCCTCCTCTTTTACTGTATAGTTTTCCTTTTTCAATCTTTTAAAACATGTTTTGGCTTAGTTGTTCTGCCTGAGTTTTTAAAAGAAAAAGCTTCTCTCTCTTTTCTCTTTACACAATTTTTTCTTTAGTTTTACGTCCCATCTCTCTCGCTCTCTTTCTTTCACACACACTTTCTCTATTTTCCGACATATGTCAACGCTTTTTTTTAACATTTTGCTGGCCAGAGCAGGACTTGCCTTGGGCCGCTGCTTGTGCTGCTGGCTATAATTACCTTCTTGCTTATCAAGTTGCTCAATGACTTTTCAGGGCTAAGTGCCTGGAATTTTTCTTGAAGAAATTCAAGATTTGTTTTAAATGTTCATGCTTGCATGGGCCTACAGGCTACTGCACCTTCTCACTTGGAGAACCTGAATTGACAGACGCAGTATTTACACGTGCAATCAATACTATCTCACTCATTAATTCCACTCCTGATGTATTCTCAATAGAAATGACGACTTACGCTGGTTGGGCAGGGTGGCTCCCTATGTTGCTCAGGCTGGTGTCGAACTGCTGGCCTCAAGCAATCCTCCTGCCTCTCAAAATGTTGTGAGAGAGCATAGTGAGGATGTTTTTGCGGACTGTGGTAAACATCCTCCTCGCATTCATGTCCTGTATAATCCTCTCCCTTTGAGCATGGGCTGGACCTAGGGAATACTGGGACTCTTCTCTTTCCTTTCTTTTCTTTTTTTTTTTTTGAGATGGAGTTTCGCCTTCTAGGCCAGGCTGAAGTGCAATGGTGCAATTTCAGCTCACTTCAACCTCCACCTCCAGCGATTTAAGCGATTCTCCTGCCTCAGCTTCCCAAGTAGCTGGGATTACAGGCATGTTCCACTACGTACAGCTAATTTTTGTATTTTTAGTTGAGACAGTGTTTCACCCTATTGGTCAGGCTGGTCTTGAACTCCTGACCTCAGGTGATCCACCCACCTTGGCCTTCTAAAATTCTGGGATTACAGGCGTGAGCCATCGTGCCTTGCTGGACCTAGGTGCTATTTTCTAAGTAGCAATAAAATACGTGAAAGTGATGGGATGTCACTTCTGGGATTAGGTTACAAAGAAGACTGTGATCCCTCTCTCATTTTCTTTTTCTCTCTCTTCCTCTTTCTCCTCCCTGCCCTGGGGCAAGACAGCTGCTTCTTATGAAGAGGTGCAAGTAGACAGGAACTGAGGTCTCCAGCCAACAGACAGAGAGGACCTGAGGCCTGCCAGCAGCTATAGAAGTGAGTTTGAAAGAGGATTGTGAAGCCTTGAGAGAGCTGCAGCCCTGGCTGACAGCTTGATTGTATCTTCATAAGAGCCTGAGCCAGAGGACACAGCTCATCTCACCCAGATTCCTAGCCCACTGAAACTGTGAGAAAAAAAAAAAAAGTGTGTTTATTAAGCGGCTAAATTTGGGGCGATTTTTATCCAACAATAGGTAATGAATACAAGGATATTGCTTATTACTCAAAATCACTATATAAAGCCCCTGAAAAATTGAAAACTGCAACTAGGGCAACACTGAGAGTCTCCAAGAACACTGTGTTTCTTCTTAGAGACAGTGAGAAAAGCACATACATGTGTTTTCCTGTTAGTTTTGGCCACCAGGAAGCTCAGAGCCAAATGTGTGACCCAATTTTAATAACCGTGTAAGCCTCTATGACCTGCTTATCTGTGTTCTTATTCCTGGCCTTTCATTTTATTCTGACTTTCTCTCTCTCTCTCTCTCTCTCTTTTGAAACAAGACAGAGTTTTGTTCTTGTTGCCCAGGCTGGAGTGCAGTGGCGTGATCTTGGCTCACCTCAAACTCTGCCTCCCAGGTTCAAGAGATTCTCCTGCCTCAGCCTCTCGAATAGCAGCTGGGATCACAGTCATGCACCACCAAGCCTGACTAATTTTGTATTTTTAGTAGAGACAGGGTTTCCTCCATGTTGGTCAGACTGGTCTTGAATTCCTGACCTCATATGATCCACCTGCCTCAGCCTCCCAAAGTGCTGGGATTACAGGTGTGAGCCACTGCGCCTGGGCCTGACTTTTCCTTTTCTTCCTACTGATTTTATTAGCTCATCTATATTTTTCTATGTGATATGAATTACGGTAAGCCACCTCAAATTCAGCTTACAGAGAAGCAAGGCATTTGTAAATTTTTTTTTTTTTTTTGAGACTCTCACTCCATATCCCAGGATGGAATTCAGTGGCGCGATCTCGGCTCACTGCAATCTCCGCCTCCCTGCAATCTCCGCCTCCCGGGTTCAAGTGATTCTCATGCCTCAGCCTCCCAAGTAGCTGGGATTACAGGCGCGCACCACCATGCCTGGCTAATTTTTTATTTTTATTTTTAGTAGAAACCAGGGTTTCACCATGTAGGCCAGGCTAGTCTCGAACTCCTAACCTCAAGTGATTCACCTGCCTCGGCCTCCGGAAGTGTTGGGATTGCAGGCGTGAGCCACCGCGCCCAGCGCACACATCATTTTTTAAAGACAGTTTTTAAATTTAAAACATAGTTTTGCACATTAAAAAACGTTTTGCACAGGCTGAACACAAAGTTCCCGGAGGTAGTGGTAAAGAGATCAGGTCATAGGAGGGTGGCTCAGTAGCCCCAAGCATTGGCCAGGGGTGATTTGGAGTGGGTAAGAAATATCAAGTGATAGCGATGGAAAAGGGAAAAAGGAGAGCAACTGATTGCCATCCCCAGAGGGAGGGGCCGGCAGAGGGCTCACCCACTCACCCACAGTGGGATCCTTGCAACGTGATCCTGGCAACGGCTCCCCTAATCCCTCCCGCCCAGTTCCGCCCAGTCCCGCCCCTCACCCGGACCCTGCCCCCACCCGGGCCCCGCCCCCTCCCGAGCCCCGCCCTTCACGCACGCAGCGATGCACCGCCTCAGTCTCCGCCAGCCAATCCGGCCTCTCCGGTGGTTGCGCGCTCCGCCCCCTCCATCCGAGCCCGCGCCGGCCTTCTCCGCTCCGCCCGCCTCACTCCTTTCTGGGCGGTTGGGCAGCGCGCCTGTCCGGGCGGGGCGCTGAGCGAGCGACCCAGCCTCTGGGACGCGGTGGCGGCGGTTGCGGCGGCGGCGGCGGCTGGGTCTGCCCAGACTGTGGCGGAGGCGGTGGCTGAGGTGGAGGCGGAAGGAGGCGGCGGCTGCAGAGGGGGGAAGATGGCGGCGTCTGTCCTGCTGAGAGTGTCGGTGCCGCCGTGGGAGCTGGTGGCCTGGTACGCCGTGTGCCCTTCCGGGATACTGCTCTATTTCTACACCGACCACGTGGAGCGGGAGAAGGAGTGGGACCCCGAGCACCGGACCCTCTGCAACCTGGAGTCCTGGGGAAAGTGCTCCGCCGCCCTTGCCTCCAGGTAGCCAGCGTTGGGGAGTGGGCCGTGAGCGGCCGCCCGGGGCGAGGGCGGAGGCTGGGGGTTGGGAGCGGGAGGCGGGAGCTCGGGCCTGGGGGCGGCGGGGACCCGGCCGCGGGGAAACGGACCGGGTCGGGGCCGGGGCTGGGCGCTCCTGCCCCTGGGCCGCCCGAGCCCAGGCCACGCCGCGAAGGTGGCGGGACCTCGAGGCCGCCAGGGGGAGATGAAGTGACAAGAGTGCAGCCGGGAGGCCGGGGCGGTCGGGTTGCTGTTGGGCGGGCGGGGCCCGCGCTGGGATGGAGCGCGAGGGTCTCCGGAGGGTGGGTCCCAGCCGGCCTGACCGGTGTCCTGGTTGTCGGGAAGGCGGGCCGGGGGTGTGGGACCCTGTCCGCCGCACCCGCGAGGCCAGAGGCCACCTCTTGTCCCCCCGTCGCTGCAGCCGAGGCTTTAGGGGCCCGGCGCGGACTCAGGGGGCTTGCGTTTCCCATTGTCTTCCTGGTACTAGGACAGGTGTTTCCGTGGTCAGGCCTCTTTGTACTCCAGCGCTAGTGAGAATTTGTGGACTTACTGAGACGGTGACATTTGCGGGCAAACACAAATTTGACCCTACTCTGGAAGAAGATACCGGCACTTAACATATCTGATTTCTTGGATTTCTTCTCGTATATTTGAGTGTGCCAGGAGGGGGAAATGGTCTGAGTTTGGGTCTGAGTTTACGCTTCACTGGAGTAAAGGACAAGTATGTTATGTGTATGGTAGTGTTTTAGGCATTGGGGTGACTTTTAAACGTTGCTTATTAGTATACTAGGATACCCACAACAGATTAAAAACACATGCTTTGCTAAACTTGAGTGATTGGTTTGTGTTACTGATCATTTTATTTTTTTAAAATGTAATTGGTTTGTCTGTTATGTTTTATTTTAACGCGTTAAATTTTCCTAGGCAAGTTACTTTGAAAAAGGGAGGAATTTACGTTTTGGTGGTTTTTTTTTTTTTTTTTTTTT